TATGCTACCAGAGCTCCTTATAGGTTTATTTACCAAATATTAATTAAAAACCAGTTGCTATTGAACCAACTCCAACTAATAGCGATCTCATATGTGTCAGAGTAGAACTGTGCTCCATAGAGTTTTCAGTGGCTGATTGTTTGGAAGTAGATTGCCAAGTCTTCCTTGGGTGGCACCTCTGGATTTGTACCAACTGCACATCTTTTACTTAACACCTGAGAGGAGGGACCAGTCGTTGGAGAAGGATATCATGTTTGGTAAGGTGGAGGGTCAGAGAAAAAGAGAAAGACTCCCCAGCGAGATGGATTGGTAAAGTGGCAGCATCAGTGGGCTCAAGCGTGGCAACAATTGTGAGGTTGACCCAGGATTGGGTAGTGTTTCATTCTGTTGTGCATAGGGTCACATCGGTACCGACTTGATGGCACCTAACAACAACAACAACATTAACCATTTGCAACACCCAGGGCCATGATACTGGCAGCCCAAATCTTTGTATAGTTACCCAAAGTAACTTTTAATCTGAAAATCCTTTGAACCAAAGAGATATTTCCATCTATTCCAAGACACCTGGCTCTCACCTATACAGACTAGCAGAAAATATTATCCCCAGCCTGTTCACAGAAATCTGTCCATGAGATTTGAAACTCACCACTAATGGGGAACCTGTGCAATAGCTAGGGAAGAACTCAAGATGTGGAGACAAACCAACTGGTAAGGACACAATTCTTGTCCTGCCAATTACTTGGTTAAGATATTGTGGGAAATGTAAGTGCATCTAAAACAACCAGTTGCTCCTTGGAAGCCCCACACTGGGTCGCTATGAGTAGGAACCAACTTGATGGCACTTAACAACAATAATAACATGAGTCATGAAACCGGCAGAAGATGAGTGATCTACATGGGAGGAGCTCTAGGGTTCAGATGAATTAAATGTCACTCCAGTGCTTGCTCCAAGGGACCTATCCTTAGCCTTGATTCTCCCAAGTATCTTTGCATCTTTCAGATACAATGACGGTCCATCATTTCCATAAATATTGTTACTCTTCTTGTTAAGTGCTGTGGAGTGGGTCCCGACTCACAGCGACCCTGTTTAGGGTTTCTAAGGAGCGACTGGTGAGGTTGAACCGACGACCCTGTGGTTCAAACCAACATTGCAGCCCAGCACATTAATCTGCAGCACTAGGACTCTGTTACTCTTGAGGGTCAGAGAAAGTGATAGAAAGAGAAAAGCAAATAAATACACATGAAGGAAATGACACTTTTTCTAAGAGGAATGATATCCAGAGGGTTTAGTGTTGTCAGAATGAGTTCAGTTCTCCAGAGATTTTTCACACTGTATACTACCATCATTGCTTAATTTCTCGTTGACTTCTCATTTCTTGGCCTTCTTTTCCCTCATGTATTGACATCTTGTGGGGAGGAGGGGGATTGTAGCAGAATTCTTCTACTCTCATTCCAGTGTTCCACCAAAACGGTTTACTATTTCCTGCAGGAGGGCATGGAGCTGATGATTCTTCAGATCACAGCCCTGTTGTGAGAAATACATGAAGGAACAGAATGTAATGTGGTAGGCTCAGAGTTCCCTGGGTTTGCAGAATGAATAAGCAAAGTATGATACAGCATGTACAGGGACTGGCTTTCAGAGTTCTTGGGTTTTCAGTTCAAAGAAACGTATTTGACCTCTCCTATCTGGGGCCCAGGCCTCCTGAGTCGCATTGGCTGCCCCTGTAGGGATGGCTCCACTGAAAGCAGCTCTCTGGTGTTCTGCAGGTAGCAAACTGGGGGTCAGTGACTCACCTCTGACCCCAGGGCTCTCCTCTCTATGCCCATTATTAAGGAAGAATCTTTCTTTGTGGCTCAGAGGAGTAGTTTAGTGACTGCTTTCGCATTCCTCTTACGGTTTTTGTGCTTTTTGGCAAGACCACTTATAGGTTGTTGTTGTTAAGTGCTGTTGAGTTGGTTCTGCATAGAGTTTCCGAGGAGCAACTGGTGAGCTTAAACCTCCGACTTGTAGTTAGCAGTACAGTGGTTATTCTACAGCGCCACACCAGAAGCCCACAGGTGGCGCTGTGTGTTTTCCAAAACAAGGTTTATGCTTATGTCTCCCTTTTTATAATGTTTAGGATGTATTGATTATGATTACCTAATTCTTTTATTTAATTAGTGGTTTTTAAATGGTGATGTTAAAATTCTACCATATCTCCTTCATATATAAGTTGTAATACTCCTCTGAAGATAATCTGTCTTTTCCATGGAATACTCGTAGGAAGAACAACTCTCTAATGAGCAGTTTTGCTGATTAGATAGGCAGGGTAGATCATTGATTTTTCCTTTCAGTTGCTAATGTTTATTAAAATGAGTTGATTTCTTATCTGTCTTTAAAGGTCATGAATATTTTAATTTTGTTGTTGTTGTTTAGTATCATTAGAAACATGGATTTTTAACATTTTGAGCAGAGGAGTAATATGATTTGACCTGTGCTTTAAAAACCACTCTGGCTTCTGTGTTAAAAATAGACTATTGGAAAAGGATAGAAGTAAGGGCACATGTTGGAAGATATAAATCCAGGAGCGCGAATTTGGTGACTTGGCAGTGGAGATGATTAGAAGGGACTAGATTCTGGAAATGATTTGAAGATTGAGCCAAGAGAATTTCCTCGTTAGTTGGATGTGGAATATGAGAGTACAGGACTCCAGTCACCTCCAGCTTTTTGGGAGTGAAAATGGAACTTTTGAGTCAAGTGCTCTTCCCATGTTACATTTCACTACCAAGTGTCACACAGATCAAGTAGCAAAGGTTATGAGTAGCAAGACTGTACTAACAGTGGGTCACACAGTGAAAGCAAATCACTAGAGGAGTGAATCTGAGGTCTGATCACGATCAGTGCAACATAGAGTGATCAGGATTGCACAGTGTGTACTAATCAGTGTGGCCCGAACCAGCATGGAGTACTTAATGAGTTGTTGTTGTTGTTGTTAAGTGCCTTCGAGTCGGTTCCGACCCATAGCGACCCTGTACAGGGTTTCCGAGGGTGTAAATCCTTATGGGAGTAGAAAGCCTCATCTTTCTCCCGCGGAGCGGCTAGTAGTTTCGAACCACTGACCTTAAGGTTCGCAGCCCGATTCGTAACCATTAAATTCAAATATACCAAACCCAAAACAACCACTACCATCAAGTCAATTCTGACTCTTAGCAACCCCTGCCTATAAGACAGAGTAGACTGCCCCATAGTGTTTTCAATGATATCAATCTTTATGGAAATAGACTGACACATTTTTGTCCCTATGAAATGCCTATTGGATTCAAAATGCCGACATTTTGGTTAGCAGCTAAATGTTTTAACCATCAACTGCATCACCAGAGCTCCTCACATCCAAATACAGAGTACTTTCAATGTCATAGCCCAAAAGGAAGCTAGGTGCTAACAGTCTAATTTCCTTCACCCCACCCCTTTTGCTCCAAATTACCGGCATTACCATTTGATTCAATTGATATAGGAAAAATAATACTCCTAGATAATCCACCTGTCAGAGTAAGAATTGAGAAAATCTCATTTCTGTAAATGTTAAAATAACTCTCAAATATTTTCACATGGTAAATTATATATATTAGCAGGGAGTCAATGTAGGTGGAGAAATGGGGAATAGAAACAAAACTTTTGCATGTGAGTACAAGGTAAAATACAGTGAAGAACACTTTATAAGCATACCTGAGACCACAGTATCCAATGAAGTCAGCTTCAGAACAAAGAACAGAGACAAAGAGGAAGAAGGATGTTGCACAGTGAAAACAGGATCAGTCCACCAGGAAGATGTAATGATCCTAAATGTGTTTACACCAAAAAACATGGCCTTAAAAATACATGAAGTCAAAATTGAGGGAGCTGAAAGGAGAAATTCCCAATCCACCATCACCCTTTTATCACATGGTAAAATGACTAGACAGAAAACTAGCAAGAATATAGAGAATATCTGAACAACACAATAAAATAACAGGATCTAAATGACATAAATAGACCACTCCACCCAACAACAGAGTACACATTCTTTTTTAAAGTATCCATGTGGCATTTACCCAAGATAGACCACCTCCTGGGCTATAAAAACAAAAACAAAACAAAACAAAACCCACAAAAAATGAAACCCTCAACCAATTAAAAACCATCGAAATATATAATATTTTTCTCTCAAAATAATATAATCAGACTAGAAAAAAGTAGCAGAAAGCAAAAAAAAAAAAAAAAAAAAAAAGCACTAGGAAATTATAATTGACATTTCTCATTCCGGTCCATTGTTCAGACCCTTGCTTTAGAAGAGCTGAGTTTAGAAAGGGTTGATTCCTGGGCTGAAAAGAATTTCAGGAAGAGCAAAAAGAAAATGAATCTGGATACTTCAGAGTATTTTGAAGGCAAGAATAGAGGCAGGGAGACTGTTTAGGACGTTGTTGATTCTGTCTCACCTGTCATTTAAGCAAAGGAAGTGCAGCTTGATTGTTAATTAAATCAGTTTGGTGGTTGGATTTAGCTGTGAGAAAGGTTGCCTTTCAGGCTTTTAGTACATTTGTTAAAGAGTCAAGAAGGAAAATAAAATTAGGACACCTTCCTAAATTCTTCCTATTGGCTAGCCTAATCAACATTTACAATTCTATTCCTTATAAATCTGGCTCCATTTTTCAAATGTTGAACAGAGGTGCCTCTTCTTCCAAGAGTGCTCCCCTAACTATGCTGTCTGTCAGATAAGGTAGAAGGATTTCCTTTCTGGTGTTTGCAGTTGTTCCTTTAGAACAAGTTGGCAGTTTACTTGCCCTCTTGTGGTATTAGTCCATGATGGGGAATATGATAATGAGCCACCAATGAATCTGAAGAAAAAAAATTGTTCTCAATTTCAGAATATAATGATGGTGATAACTTCTCTCTAGGAATACAGAATGGTCAGAGATCTTTCCAAGGGAATCATGTCGAAGAGAACATTCATAGTGAGGTTGAGCTTTGGTCTTCCCACTTCCAAGAGAATGATGGAAACACAGCAATGAGGTATGTCTACAAGGACCTCCAAGTAAGACAGTAAGTGACCAGACAGCTTGATTTGCACGTAGCTGCCACTGGGACTGTGTAGCTCTTAGCCTCGCTGTGATTTGTTTGTTTGTTTGTTTCCTTCTCCCGCTGGAAAGTTGAAGGAAGCTAGAAGTGGGATAATGGTTGCGCAACCATGTAGCACGAGTATCAATGAAGAGAGGATATATAGAAGACTTTCTACACATTTATAAACACATACTTTCTCTTCACTTTCCCACAGCATTCCCCACACCACCCAATGCACCAACAGAAAAGTGAGATGGCATAATGAAGATCTTATGCATATTACTGTGTGGAGAGATGGAAAACATCAAACCAGAAAAATGGTGGAGAATGTGCCTGTTTGGAGATATAGAGCACCTCCAAAGAGTAAAATGGTCAAGGATAGGCATGTGTGGAGAAATAGAAAACCTCCAAAGAGAGATATGGAGGATAATAATCATGATAAAAGCTCCAGAAGCTGGTTCAAGATCACAGTGAGTGTTCTGAAAAATGTACAGAACGTACACCCTGGAGATTGTGGTGGGGTCGAGTTTTACTGGTCTCATGTAGAGGAACTAGTTACTTTATTGGGAGTATGAGCAGTTAATAATGTGCCCTTTATATTAATAACAGGCAACATGCTCGATCATGTAAGGGACATCTTACATGATCAAGCATGTAAGATCTCAGAGAAATGATAAAAAGAGACAAGGTTGATTGTAGGAAGACAAAGAGGAAAACTAACTTCCAAGGAGATGAAGCAATTCCCTGCAGCATGACTCAGTTTGGCTCAAGCTGAGTATGTGTTTTAGGGGAGGGTATGTGGAGTCCAATCTCTAGAGTTCTTGGAGGAGCAGTATGCAGAGCCTCCATTAAGTAAGAATTCCTGTTGTTGTTAGGTGTCCTCTTATTGATTCTGTCTCAAAATGACCCTGTGTGCAATCGAATGAAACACTGCCAGTCCTGCACCATCCTCATAAATGTTTTGTTTGAGCCCGTTGTTGCTACCACTGTGTCAATCCATCTCATTGTGGATCTTCCTCTTCTTCACTTACTCTCTACCTTACTAAACATGATGTCCCCTTCCTGACAATATGTCCAAAGTGTGAGAGATGAAGTCTTGCCATCATCTCTTCCAAGGAGCAACTTGGACATACTTCCAAAGCAGATTTGTTCATTCTTTTCGTGATCCATGGTATATTTCATATTCTTTGCCAACACCATAATTCAAATGCATTAAGCGGGAGAAAGATGAGGCTTTCTACTCCCGTAAGGATTTACACCCTCGGAAACCCTGTACAGGGTCGCTATGGGTCGGAACCGACTCGACGGCACTTAACAACAACAACAACAATTCTTCTTAGCTTTTGCATGCATATAAGGTGATTGAAAATGCCTCTGGTGAGTGAGGTTCCAAATGACATCTTTGCTCTCTAACACTTTAAAGAAGTCTTTTGCAGAAGATTTGCCTATTGTAATACATCATTTGATTCTTGACTGCTGCTTCCATGAGCCTTGATTGTGGATACAAATAAAATGAAATTTCTTCTTTTGATGCTTCCTGTACCATTCAATATTTTGCCCTTTCAGTATTTCAACTTGAGGCTTGATTTTTTTTTTTTTTTTTAATTCAGTTCTTTCAGCTTGAGACATACTGAATGTGTTTTTCCCTTTGGCTTTCTAACTCCAGGTCTTTACACATTTCATGATATAACTTGACTTTGCTTCTAGAGCTGCCTACTGAAATTTTCTGTTCAGCTCCTTTACTTCATCATTTCTTCCAGTCACTTTAGCTTCTCTACAATCAAGAACAAATTTCAGAGTCGTTTTTGTCTTTTCTTTCTTACCTGTATTTTAATGACCTTTTGCATCCTTCGTGTTTCATAGTCTTGATGTCAGACACAACTCCTCTGGTCTTTTGGTCATTCGTGTCTAATGCATCAAATCTTGAGCAAAGACTTCTTCATTGCAAATACCTCTATTCAACTACATGGTGGCTATATGTGAACCTTACCAGGTGGTATACACAGGCATCAAATCAACTACATATGTGGAAAAATATGATTGAGAAGCTCAACATTATCAGCCAAATTTATATGGTTTTTAAATTCAGATGGGATACACTCAAGGTCATATTTTGGCTCTTGTGGACTTATTTTATTTTCTTCAGCTTCAGTCTGCACTTGCATATGAGCAATTGATGGTCTGTTCCACAGTTGGCTCTTGGTCTTCTTTTGGCTGAAGATACTGGACTTCTCCATTGTCTCCTTCCACATATGTAGTTGATTTGATTCCTGTTCCATCTGGCGAGGTTAATGTGCATCTTTGCCGTTTATTTTGTTTAAAAAAGGTATTTACAATGAATAAGTCATTGGTCTTAATGAAATTCTATCATGCAATCTCCAACGTAGGTTCTGTTGCCAAGGCCATATTTCTGACTGTGGTCCTTCTTTTTTGTTCCTAACTTTCACATTCTAGTCAATGCATCTTGATTGCACTTTAAAGCAATTTCAGACTGAAGAAGTTGGTAGAATTACTCAGTTTCTTCATTGTTGGCTACAGTGGTGGGTGCATAAATCTGAAAATAGTCATATGAATTGATTTCCTTGTAGGTGTATTATCACAGACAGCATTGTATTTCAAGATAGATCTGGAAATGTACTTTTTGATGATGAGTGCAATGGTGTTCAACTTGTCATTCCCAACATTCAAAGTGACCAATACTTGTCCATTTCAGCTTACTAATGCCTAGGATATCAATCTTTGTATGGTCCATTTAGTTTTTGATGACTTCCGTTTTTCCTAGATTTATGCTTTCTACATTCCGTGTTTTGATTATTAATGTATATTTGCAACTGTTTCTCTTCATTTTGAGCTGTACCGCATCTGCAAATGAAAGTTGTGAAAGCCTTGCTCCATCTGTATGATTAAGGTCAACTTTACTTTGAGGAGGCAGCTTTTTCCCAGTGTATTTTGAGTGCCTTCCAACCTGGGGAGCTCATCTTCCTTAATTATATCTAACAGTATGAATAGGCTACTATTCATAAAGTTTTCAGGGGTTAACCTTTCAGGAGTAGTCTGCCTCTCCTTCTTCAAAATCTATCTTAGTCTGGAAGTTCCACTGAGAACGGTCCACTATGAATGATCCTGCTGGTATTTAAAATAGTGTTGGCATAGCTTCTAGCATAGAAGCAGCACACAAGCCACCACAGTACAACAAACTAACAGACGAGTGGTAGAACTCCTGGAACCTCGCAAAAGGAAGATCTTAAGGTTATTATTTGCAGGAGAGATTTTTAAGGAAAGAAAAATGATATAAGAAATCCATATTTGGCACAATTTTAAGAAATCATATCAGTGATTATTTCTTTAGAAGCTTTTAAACTTCAGTAGAAGATCAGAACAGAATACTGGGTAGGGTCTGTTCTCCAGCCTTCATTCTGTGTCATTACTCTTTTCTCCTATACTTTATTTTACCTTTAGGTTCCTTGTGGGAGAAAATATGACAAAGATTGGCTACTGAATTCCATCCAGAACCATTGCAGTGTTCCCATCAAGCCAGTTGACGTAAGAGAGAATGGTGAAGCGAGATGACTGGGTAGAGGGGAGAAGGGTATCCTGGATCATCATGGGTCTTTAATCTCTGAAACTGTTGTTGTTGCATCTACTCCCTGTAGTTCCACTATGTAAAAATGCAGGCCCAGTTCTTTGTCCAGGATTATTGTACTGCCTCTGCTTTGAAGAATGCCAGTTATAAGATTCGAGGTGAACAGAACCAAAAGGTGTGTGTTCAGGCCACTAACTGTACGTATTCTGTGGGCAAAAGACAGATCAGGGGCTGGAATCTCTTTTGGGCGATTAGACTTCACAGTATTTTCCTGCATCTCCTTTCCTATAGATACGCATTTTGGTCAATCATTCTACAGAACCCCATTCCGTGCAGAATAAGTTGAGTCCAGAACAAATGGAACAACTAAAGGTAATGCAGACTCAAGACATGCTGTGTGCCCACCACTTATATCCTCACCCCAAATTCCCTATCATGATCACCACCATAACTACCTCAGATTTGTTAACTCCATCTCTGCTTTTGCAGCTGACTGTGAACAAACGATATGATGTCTTCCAGAAAGCTCTTGACCTCCAGAGCCTGCGCTTTGACCCAAGTATGACTGACAGCCCTAATTCTAGGGCGGAGGGCGGGGGTATTACAAAGAAAAAGACTTAGGCATGTTAACTTGGGGAGGGTACTGACCCAGCTGGCCCATCTCAGCCTTCTGACTTTTTCTCTGGACTTCTTGAAGACTTGGTAAACCATGATATTGACATGATCCTGAATCGAAGAAGCTGCATGACAGTCACACTGAAGATCATCGAAGAGAATTTCCCTGAGGTGAGGCTTTTAGCCCAGCACTGGTATTTAGAAAGAGAAGTGGAAAGGATGAGATGTAGGGCAAGTTTGTCTCTGAAGCCCTAGATAGTAACCAACACTCTATTCTTCTTCCCAAAAGCTGTTGTCCTTGAACTTGTGTAGCAACAAACTGTACCAGCTGAATGGCCTGTCTGACATTATACATAAAGCCCCCAAAGTCAAGATCCTGAACCTCTCCAAAAATAAGGTGACAAGTCGAAGCCAGATTGAATTTGGGTTGAGGGTGGGGACCGTGCTCATCAGGGTGATGATGAGAGGCAGGAGGATGCCTGTGGGTGACTATGGGGCAGGATGAAACATCCAGAAGGCTAAGATTTCTCTCTGTTCTTGGGACTCATCTCTTTCATTTCCTCCTCATTTTTCTCAGCTGAAGTCAGTGTGGGAGTTGGACAAGATCAAAGGGATGAAGCTTGACGAGCTGTGGCTGGAAGGAAACCCATTGTGTAACAACTTCTCAGATCATTCCACCTATGTGAGGTCAGTGGTAACCACTGTCTGCCATTCTGAGGACCTTCACCCCTACAGCCTGTGCTACCCCTGACAATGTCTTCAGGATGTTGGAGCTCTGATCCTCTAGGAGGACTACGTGCCCTGCCCTCTCCTCTCTGTGATTCACATCTGTGCTTAGAGGTCCACCTGCCTTCATCTGGCCCGTTCACTGCTCCCTTCTGTTTGCCATCCCTCTGTACCCAGTCTTCTCTGGCATGGCCTCCAGGAAGCAGGGCTTCTCCTTCCTTCCAAGAACCAGGGGTGTGGACACTGTGCCCTACTCTACCACTGGGGCCAGATACTAATGCCCTGGACTTTGAAGGCTCTTCTTGAACAGGAACTTCTGCTGAGACAGGTCAACCTGGCTCTGAGCCTAGGTGGGCTTCTCTTCCATCCTGTCATGGCCCCTCCCTCCCTTGCTCCAAAAGGGTCCCATAACCTGTCAGTGGGTCAGAAGTGAGTTTACCTGCAGTGATCAGAGGGCAAGGGGCAGAGGCAGATGTGAAAACAGAAGAACAGTTCTCTCAAAGGCATTGCCTCCTCCCTTCACCATGTTATGCCATCCCGCCTGGTCCTTCAGAATAACACTGGGTACACCAAGATGCCTCAGGTAATGGACCAAGTAAGACAGGCCGAGTTGTATAAGGGTTTTCAGGGGAGAAAGTGGTGCTCATAAGAGAGGCCACAGATGCTTTACCTCATGCTGTGCTGTTACCTAAACATTTACTCATGGAGAAGGTCTCCTGCTCCATGGCTGCTCAGGTTCTCATGATCGGCTCACATGGAATTACCCAGGTGACAAAGGCCAACAAGGGCCCATCCCAACAAGTACCTCTTCTCAACTCCTACCTCAGCCCCAGGGACTGACAGGGAAGGTGAAGGGCAGAATGCCAGCAAGGGAGGTGGTTTTTCCCTCCTTTCTCCCTAATCCTCAACATCCACAAAAAACATCTTCCGTTGCCTTTCATTAGCTTTCTCTTTCTCTTTTTTCTCCACTACCCAATATGTCCCTATATTTTCCCTCCCCTACTTTTACTCCCTACCTGTCCTTATTCCCTCTTTGCTGTCTGAGTCTGCCTCACTCATCTCCCTGCCCTGACATCCTGGGCCATCACTTGAGGATGTCCTGGTCTTGTCCAAGGCCAGGCCTGATAGGACACCTGGTGAAGTAGCAGAGCCCTGGGCCATACCCAATTCCCTCTTCCCTTTGGACCCTTCTCTGAGGACCTGGAGGAAGGTAAGTAAGTCAGATAGAAGAAGGAATCGCTGGCGCATAGCCTTTAAGCTGTTTCACTGGAGGAGAGGGTCAGGACTGTCCATGTGAGAAAGTCCAGGAGGAGGAGAGTGGCAGAGGAGGTCTGTGGGGAATGAGATGGAGAAGCTGTGCCTTTAAAAATGGGGGCTGTCCAGTGGCCTAAAGGGAATGTAGACCCAAGACCCTTGAACTCAAGCCAAGCATGAGTGCTCTAAGGGCTCTGTACATGGCATTTATATGTTCATTCAAGGCAGGCAGTCCAATGTTGTAGTGTAAAACACTTTTTCCTATTTTTGGTTTTGAACAGTGCCATCCGAAATAGTTTCCCCAAGTTGCTATGCCTGGTAAGTGCTTACCTTTATTATTGTCTTCTATTATTTACATTGATGACCTGAACCCCTGTCCTCAAGTCCTTTGTGTCTTGTCTATTTTTGCATTGCCCCTTTACCTATTTTAGAAGATACAGACTTTTAACAAGTCATAGCTATTCTCTTAAAAAGGGTCCATGAAACAGGCACACACACACACAGGTACAATATCTAATAGTAGAGGTTTCCAGACCCCATAGAGAAGATAGAATGTAGTCTGTAGTCTGGATCATAGAATTTTCAAGGCCATTTCACACCTGGCCTCTGACCCTCATTTTCCTGGACACCTGGTGTGATCTCCCAGCTCTACACTGCTGACTTACTTCATTCCGCAGGATGGCCAGCATCTACCCCAGTCACTTAATGTTGAAATGAAAACCCCAGATATAATGAAGCCCTGTAAGGTGAGTTGGAAGTACTAAGCAAGATTTGGCATGTTGCAAGGGAGGCTTGGCTAGTATCATAGTCTCAAGTGATCTTTTAATTCCAGGAAAGCTATAAAGGATCGGAGCACCTGAAAAATCTACTCATGAATTTCCTGCAAAAGTAAGTAGTCCTGGAACCTCATGGTGATAAGGGACTTTCAAGTCCACTTAGGAGCCCGGACCACAGAAAGCCTGTCCTTCTTGCTTCCCCATAGGTATTACTGGACCTATGACTTTGGTGACCGTCAGGATCTTGTCTTTGCTTACCACGATGAGGCCTGCTTCTCACTTGCCATTCCCTTTATCCCTGAGGATCCAGTTCCGTGAGTATTACAGACCTATCTGATGACAACCCTGGACTTTGTGACTTCCCATCAGTACCCCCTCCTGTTCCTCTTTTTCTCCTAGAAGCAGCTTGAGCAAGTACTCCAAGGGTAGCAGGAATCTAAAGAAATGCAAGGACCCTGGTAAGTATGTTAGGGGAAAATTGGGCGGGACAAGAGATGTGAAAGAGTCAGTCTTAGAGACTCAGTGAATGAGGAAGCCCCTGATCTTCTCTTCTCCCAACACAGTACTGCGGATTCAGTTTCTGAAACACACGAAACATGATATTGTTGACTTCCTCAGTGTATTACCCAAAACCCGGCATGACCTCAACTCCTTCTTGGTGGACGTGTGTCTCCAGACGGTGAGCACCTGTTTCCTCCCTGAGGCAGATCCAGAAAGCGTAAGTGGGTAAAAGGGTTATGGGAATCCTGGGAGTCTGAACCATTTTACTCTTTCAGGAAAAGATGCTCTGCTTTTCTGTTAGTGGACTGTTCAGTGAGGGTGAGTTCCTTCTCTATGTCCCCCACTTTTCCTTCTCAGAATTCTCCAGACTTCCCTGATCCCTTCCCTTCCTATTTCCTCTGTGTGCTCCAGTTCCCACCCTGCTTCCAACCCACCCTGGTCTGACCTAAATCCATACCTGTCTGCCCCAGCACAGCTCAAATGTCAGGGATACAAGTTATGGAATTTGATGGATCTCATCCCCCATCCCACACTCTGCCACACTGTCACATTCTCAGTCTCCTTGTTTGCAAGATGGGGCTAGTAATACCCATCTCTTTGACTGCTGTGAAAAACGAGGCACGTGAACTCGTGAAGAGATTGCCATAGGGCCTGACACAGAGAAGTGGCCCTATGTAAAGGTTGAGCAACTCTGAGGATTATTTTTTGTTGTCTTTGAAGTTGAAGGAGTACATCAGCCTCATGTCTGTACCTTCACCCAGACCTTCATTGCTATTCCTGCCAACAATTCCAGGTAAGTGTTGCGTTTTGGATGCTACAAGGAACATATGCAGCCTGAGGTCAGTACATTACATTCCTCATAGTTCCCTCACAATTCCAGAATTCTAAATGATAAATCCCAGGATCAGTCTAGCCTAGTGGATAAGAGCATAGCTATGGTATAGGAATAGCAGGTTCTCAGCCTGACTCCAGAACTGATCAACTGTGTGACCTTGGTCAAGTTACACAACCTCTCTGTGACTCAGTGTTCTTCTCTGGATTAGGAAGGTTAGAGTATCTATCTCCCTGGACTGTTGTAGAGTTTAGAAAGACCAGTATGAAACTGTCTCTGGATTGGGAGTAAATCTACAAATCCAGTGAAGCTGGCAGATATCCCTCCAAAGGCAGGTTTTGTGGTAGGGGAGAGGGTAACAGCCACGGAATCTGGGGAACAATCAGAGTAGGGGATAGAGGGAACATGGCTGTTGAGTGGAAGCAGGATCATTGTTTGGGGAGGCAGGTGTGGGGGGTGTTGGGGGTTACCTATTTGTTCAGCTGTCTGAGGGCTCATTCTTCCTGTAGCTTGTGTATTGTGAACGAACAACTATCTGTGAATGATGGCGGCCCCAATAAGACCCAGAATTCCTCCACCCCAGTGCCCACATCCTTGTCCAGCTCTAAACCAACCCTCTCCGAGGAGCAGGAAAATATGGTGCAAGCATTCGCCATCCAGTCTGGGATGAAACGTGAATGGTCTCTGAAGTGAGTGCTGGGAATTCTGGGGTCAGGGTGAGCTGGGAGGACCAAAGATAAGAATTTACAAATGAATTTGAAAAGTTACTGTTCATAGGTTTTACTTAAAAAAAAGCAGCAGACCCATGAAAAAGTTACCCTGATATTACACATACATGTGCAAATAATCTTAAAATAATATAATACTCAGATGACATTGTATTTTATATGGAAAATCCTAAGGACTCCATTTAAAAAAAACCAAACACTATTAGAAATAATAAACAATTTCAGTAAGGTTGCAGGGTTCAACTTTAATAAATAACAATCCTTTTTGTTTCTGTGCATATGCAGCAAGCAATATAAAAATTAAATAAAACTTTCATACACAAAGCATCTAAAAGAATAATATACTTAAGAATAAATTAAGTAAAACACAAAATTTATACTGTGATATGTACATGTTGTTGTTGTTAAGTGCCCTCGAGTCAAGTCTGACTCATAGTGATCTTGTATAGGGTTTCTGAAGAGGGGTGGGTGAGTTTGAACCACCAACTGTGCGGTTCAAACCAACTTTATGGTAGAGTGCGTATCCTACAGGGTGACGCAGTATTTAAACTATTGTTTAAATAAATCAAAGAAGACCATAATAAATGGAAAGACACATTATGATCATGGATTGAATGATGTAATATTGTTGAAATGAAAATATTCCCCCAAATTGATTTACAAATGTAACTCAATCCCCATCACAACACCAGCTAGCTTCTCTGCAGAAATTGACTGCTAAGCCTAAAATTTATATGGACTTGCAATGTACTCAGAATAGCCAAACAGTCTTTAAAATGAAGAACACATGTGGATAACTCATAATTCTCAATTTCAAAGCTTACTGTAAAATGACAATAATCAAGACTGTGAGGTACTGGTGTATGGATAGACATAGATCAATGGATTTGAATTGAGACCCTACTAATAAATATTCACATTTATGGTCAATTGATTCTTCTACTAACTAGGGTGTAGGAAAATTAAACAGCGATGCTGTGACACTTGTATATCCATTTACAAAATAAATGTTTTGGACCCTTCTCTCACACCATATGCAAAAATTGACTCAAAATGGATTAAAGAATACTTTCACAAGATCTTTATCATTACACACTTTTTCTCATTCTAGTACATGTGCCCCAGCCTAGAAATAGCTTGGATTTAGTGGTGCCATTGGGTAGGCTTAGTGTTCACATTGCAGTGTTAATGGAGCTCACCTATTCTTCTCCCACCCCCAGATGTCTTGAGGACAATGAGTGGAATTATACCATCGCTGGACAGGTCTTCACTATTCTCAAGGTGAGTCTGAGAACTGAGTGGGTAACAAGTGCATGATTCTGGGCCTTCTAGAAGACTGAGAAGTTAAAGGCAAGGTGGCCTGGGGTGCAACTCTAGGTCCCTAGCTCTTCTGAAGTCATAACTTTTTCTTTTCTCTTCCTCCAGGCTGAGGGCACAATCCCAGAAGAGGCCTTCAAACAAAGCCCCTAAAAAGATCTCTTGGATATGATCTTTTTCTTCATCCATATCATCTTTGTTTCTCTTCTCTCTCACCTGAGATAACACCCATGAGCTGGGATATAGGCCTGGCTGACCAGTAAGGTAGTTTGTCGGCCTGCTCGTGAACCACCCAAAGGATCTGCTGTTCTGTGTATTTTCCCCACTCAAGATCCTTGTTTATTTTTTAAAATTATTTTCTTAATAAAGAGTGCTGTGCAAGTTGGATGTTTTATATCCTGGATTGCTCTTTTCCTGATCCAGCCATGAGCCATTATGGTCAGGACTGACCTGCTTGCTCATTGCTTACATTTTCTAGCTGACTTATCAGGCTTAGGTAGATTGTCAGGTGGGTTGTCAGTGAGAGAACACATGTTACTTCTGAGGATTGGCTTTTGGAGACAGTGTAATTCAAACAAATGTTGCACCTGGATTTGGTATGCTACCTGGTACAGTAGGGGCTTTGCAAGAGACAGTCAATGGCTAGTGAGGGCAGTGGAAGGAAGAAAGGTAGAGACTCATGTGATTTACTTCTTGTACTGACACATTTGAATTTTTTCAGAGCATATCATGAACACTCCTATGATTTGCACACAGATGAATGGGAGACTGGCCTTTTCACACATCTCCCTGTGCTTCAGTTGTCTTCTCTTCCACTGTACTGCTGTCTTCCCCTTTCTGAAGGTGTACTTTTCCAGGTGTCTCACTTTAGCACATGCAGAATGAGGGAGAGTCAACTTATCTGCCAAGAGCATTCCTCAGAGATCTGACAACTGGTGCTCCGTGTTCTCTTTCTTGATGGGGTTCAGCCACTTATTTTCACTTCCAATCAAACACTAATAGCACAGCAACTCACATCAGTTTTGTGGGACCTTTCTCAAAGACTGGCAATTAGCTATCCAGAATTGCAGTCAAATAGTGAGCAAGATATTTGCACAATTTATTTTCTACACTTATATAATGTTTGGAAGTCTAGACAACAAGCAGTCATATGTTTTAAATTAGAAATAATGTTAAATCCAAATTTTCAAGTCTTAATTCTATGCAAGTGATGACATAGATGAGATAACCACTAGTGTGCAAACTGTGTCTCCAACTTCCTGTTTTACATAAGTTGCTTCCTTGTCACTTTCTATTCTTTACATAGGAGTACACTGGAAATCCACATGTTGGTGTGGCGCTGTTGGTTAATGCGCTGGACTGCAAAGTCAGCTTGAACCTCAAGGTCGGTGGTTCAAGCTCACCAGCTGCTCCTTGGAAACCCTCTACAGGGTCGCTATGGGTCGGAACCGACTTGATGGCACTTAACAACAACAACAACACACTGGAAATCCATGTGTTGGAGTGTGAAATTTTTTAAATATGAGCTGAGGGAGGAACAATTCTAATCTTCCATGAGGTGCTTCAGTGATCAAAGACAAAGTCCTTATCTCTCTAAGCTTCATTCTGTTCACCTAAAGATAAAAAGCACAGTGTGCACCTCTTACCAACATGGGGGAGAATAGTGACTGGCTCACCTGTTAATGAACAATAGTAGTGTCTGGCTCAATTCAGATGCTCTGGGCTCTTTGGATTCCCTTGTGAAAGGGACCATAGAATCCATTCCAAGGCTGTTCAATTTTATTTCTGTACATGATTGGGCTTCCCATCCTTGAACCCCTTCTCTAGCCAGCTGTTGGGTGCATCGTTGTTGTTGTTGTTATGTGCCATGGAGTCAGTTCTGACTCATAGCGACCCTGTACAGGCTTTCTGAGGCTGTAAATCTTTACGGGAACAGAAAGCCTCATCTTTTTCCCACTGAACAGCTGGTAGTTTCGAACTGCTGACCTTGTGGTTCGCAGCCCGATTCATAATCTCTGTGCTACCAGAGTTATGCCATATCTTTTTTATCGTTTCCCTAGCCATTAGTGGACACAATAGCTTTTTAATGGACACAAAGCTCTTTAGGGGCAAATAGTTGAAAAAAAACAAAAAACAAAAAACCTTAGTGAAGCTATCTTAATGGGGTAAAGGTAGAAGGGCTGTTCTTTGGCACCAATCAAGCCCACTCTGAACAGGGGCAATAAATGATGTCCATTACTTGCATTGGGCTTTCCACTTTCATTACTACCTTTTACCTTTTACTGTGCTTCTTTTATTACCCCTCCCCTATCTGTTTCTCCCTAAATGTTATTTGGCATATAGTAGTGAACCTCAAGGTCAGCAGTTCGAAACTACCAGCTGCTTCGCGGGAGAAAGATGAGGCTTTCTACTCCCGTAAAGATTTACACCCTCG